TTAAGGTACAGAAAGAAAAAAAGAATTGTCAACTTATAATTTAAAATACCTTTCAAAGACAAATGTGACAATGGGGGAAGAACAGTCTTTTCAATAAATGGTGCAGGAGCAACTGGATATCCACAGGCAAAAGAATGACGTTGGACACTTACCTCACACCATATGCAAAAACAAACTCAAAATGGGTCAAAGACCTAAAACTATAAAACTCTTGGATGAAAACACAGGGATAAATCTTCATGACTTTGGATTTGGCAATGGTTTCTTAGCACCAGCAACCAAAAAAAGTAAATTGGGGGACTGGCCTGGTGGTGTAGTGATTAAGTTTGTGTGCTCTGCTTCAGTGGCCGGGGGTTTGTGGGTTCAGATCCCAGGAACAGACCTACACACCGCTCATCGAGCCATGCTGTGGCGGCAACCCACATATAAAATAAAGGAAGACTGGCACAGATGTTAGCTAAGGGACAATCTTCCTCAAGCAAAAAGGAGGAAGATTGGCAGCAGATGTGCGCTCAGGGCCAGTCTTCCTCACACACAAAAAACTAAAAATAAAAAATAAATTGGGCTTCCTCAAAATTAAAAACTTTTGTGCATCAAAGGACACTATCAAGGAAGTGAAAAGACAAACCATAGAATGGCGGAAAATATTTGCAAATAGTATATCTAATAAGAGTCTAATATTCAGAATATATAAAACACTCTTACAATTCAACAAAAAGACAAACAACCCAAATAAAATATGGGCAAAGGTCTTGAATAGGCATTTCTCCAGAGAAGATATACACATAACCAAAAAGCACATGGAAAGATGCTCAACATCATTAGTCATTAGAGAAATGCAAATAAAAACCACAATGATATTCCACTTCACACTCACAAGGATGGATAATAAAGAAAAAAAGAGAGAGAGAAAATGTGTTGGCAAGAACATGGAGAAATTGGAACCTTCACTTCATACATTGCTAGCGGAAAATTCAAATGGTGCAAGCGCTGTGGAAAATAGTCTGGTTGTTCCTCAGGAAGTTAAACGTAGGATTACCATACGACCAAGCAATTCCATTCCTAGGTACATACCCAAGAGAATTAAAAACAGGTGTTCAAACAAGAACCCGTACGTACATGTTCAGAGCAGCACCACTCATTAATAATCAAAAGGTGGAAACAACTCAAATGTCCATCAATGGATGAACGGATAAACGAAATGGTATAACAAACAACCAAGTATTATTCAGCCACAAAAACCAGTGAAGTACTCATGCGTGCTACAATATGGATGAATCTTGAAAACGTTATGCTAATGAAAGAAGCCAGACACAAGAGACCACATACTGCATGATTCCATTTATATGAAATTTTCAGAATAGGCAAATTCATAGAGCAGAAAGTTGATTAGTGGTTGCCAGGGACTGGGAGTACAGGGGGAATGGGGAGTGCCTGCTTAATGGATACAAGTTTTCCTTTTGGAGCGATGAAACTGTTCTGGGACTAGATAGTGGTGACGGAACTTGATAGTGGTGATGGTTGCACAACACTGTGAACGTACTAAATGCCACTGAAATGTACACTTTAAAATGGTTAAAATGGTGAATTTTGTTATGTGAATTTTGTCACAATGGAAAAAAAGCAATTACCATAAAAGTCTCTTAGTTATCTATCAAACATTTATTGAAGGCTTCCAGGCAAGCTTTATTCTGGATGCAGGGAATACAGAGAATAATCAGATGTGATCTTGGCTTTTGAGGAGTTCACGGTTGGTAGGGGAGGAAAAACATTCTGCAAACAATTAAGTGTTATAGTTTCCTTGACATCAGAACGTGCACTGCACACTGGAGGCGGCTGCTTTACCCAGGGGGTGCGGAGAACAGCCATGGCAAGGCTGAGGCTTGAGAGCTGAGTAGGATGGCAGCACGGAGGGGTTCTGGGCAGAGGGGGTGACTTGAGCAAGCTCAAAAAGCGTGTCAAAAAGCCTCTAGTCTTCAGCAAACTGTATACCAAATAGCACATATGCAGCAGTGTAGAGGATGGACGACAGGACAGTGAGGTGACAGGTGGGTGACTGCCCCTGTCTGGTTGCAGTAGGTGACACTAAGAGATGTGAGGGGAATGACACAGACCTGACTAGATGCGAGGGTCAAAGAAAGTGTGACTCCCAGAGTGGACCACGTGGTGGGTGGTGGTTACTGCAGGTCCCCAAGGCAGGCCTGCAGGACATTCTGTTCTCAGGGGACATCACACTAGAATTTACCCTCCACCCCCATCTCATGTATTTACTATTTTTAATGATTTTTTTTTTTTGGCATTTGAAACCCACTTCCCTTTTCTTTGGGCTTCCTCTGTTTTCCTGTTTGAAATACATGTTACTACGGAAATGTCATGGCACAGTATAGTGGCATTTACAAGAGAAGTGTAAAGAATTTTCAGAGCATCTAGAGACACAAGTCTATGGTTTATGAATCTAAATCCTAATGATGTGATAGTGTTCATGCCTTCAGATACTGCGCCATAAATATAAACACACCCGGAAATTGGAGACAGCAGAGAGGAGATAGTGGAGAATTTTATTAGGATTTATGTGCCCAGATTTTAAAAACGTATATAAGAAATATTAAAAACAAAACATAACACACTACTTGGGAAGAACATCTGGAAACAATGAATGACAGGATGCCAACATGTACTTATGAATACACATGTACTTATGAATACACACCTCTGGAAGTACCAGGGGGCCTGGACGCTACCAGGAGACTTGGAAAAACCTCTGTATCACCTTCTACAACATAAATATGTTTCCAAAAAATTACATGTAAATCAACTGTTGGTAAATCATATTTATCAATGGAAAATTGACTGCTATTTTAAAAATATCTTAAGAATGTACCTTTTAGTAAAGGAAATTGTTACCAATGGAGTAATGGAAAAAAAGTCACTGGACTGAGTGAAATTCAAGGTCCTTCATTATTATCCTGGCTCTGCCACCAATTAGATGTGTGATTCAAGAAAAGTCACTCAACCTCCCTGAGCCAATTTCCTCATCTAATCTGGGTTGTAATTCTGAATTTTCACTTATTAGCTTCTTAAAGCAAGGTATGGGGGTACTGGCCCACAGCCTAACATCCAGTTCTTCTGAGGGGTAATACTTCACTTTGAATCCTTGTGAACAGGACTCAGGGCCCTTCTTCCTAAGAGGAGCCAGGGACCATAGAACCAGCAGGCCAGTTACCACTGATCTGTGTGCCCTGCCTCTTGATACCCGACTTTCTCACTCCCACAATCACCCTAGGTGTCATGATTCCAACTTTTTGTTCCAAATTCTTTTTTTTTTCCCCTGAGGAAGATTTGCCCAGAGCTAACATCTGTTGCCAATTTTCCTCTTTTTTTGGTTGAGGAAAATTAGCCCTGGGCTAACATCTGTGCCAATCTTCCCCTGTTTTGTATGTGGGTCATCACCACAGCATGGCTGACAGTGGTGTAGGTCCATGCCTGAGATCTGAACCTGCGAACCCAGGCCACTGAAGTGGAGCATGCCAAACTTAACCACTAGGCCACGGGGCCGGCCCCCTAAATTCTTTACTAAAGCTTGTTCCTCGCACTGTCCTCTGGGAAAGATTGACAGTCTAAGATAGGAGCCTGTTCTCAGTTGTCTCTCGACCTCTGGCCCTTTCCCTATCCCACAAGGCTGGACACTGCCTCAGGGCAAGGGCCGTACCTTCTGGGCCTAGTACAGGTCCAGGCCTGAAGAAGGAATTTGGAGAATGACTGTTCACTGGATCTTTTTGAAGGAGGAAGTTGAGCCACAGGTGGGTCTGGTGAAATACCTGAACCCTAGGGGCGAGCTTTTGGTTGCTCCTTTAAACATTTCTGAACTTGCCAAATTTTCTACAAAAGGCAGAAATACCACAGGCCCCCTTACCCATGGGGAATACGTTCCAAGACCCCCAGTGGATGCCTGAAACCAGGGATAGTACTGAACCCTATATATACTATGTTTTTTCCTAACTAACGGGTTAAGGGGCAGGTAGTATATACAGTGTGGATACACTGGCCAAAGGGATGATTCATGTCCTGGGCGGGATGGAGTGGGATGGCGTGTGATTTCATCATGCTTCTCAGAACATCCCACAATTTAAGACTTATGAATTGTTTATTTCTGGAATTTTCCATTTAATATTTTCAGACTATGGTTGACCACAGGTAACTGAAACCATGCAAAGTGAAACCACAGATAAGGGGGGGACTACCATATAAACAAACCACAAGCATTAAATCCTCCTTCTCCCGAATTTTTGTCAATGCCCTGGTCTCCCATAAATAATGCAAACTTTGCTCAGTTCTCCAATGTTTGGAATAGGACCTAGGGCACACATCTTTTCTTCAAGAGAAACAGCCATTACAGTCTCCTAGTCTGTTTTACTTAAACAGCAATGACACTATGCATTTGTCCTTGTGGACCTAACACCTGCCATCCAGCCCCGGGCAAGGACCTCTGCCAAGCGGCTGAAGAAAAGCCCATTTATCAACAGAGTTTAGGCACCACCTTGATTAATCCGCCAGAGAGGAAGTACAAAACACAACTGTAAGAATTCTTCTGTCTTCAGCTAAAACAGGTTTTGCCTTTATTAGCCAGCAAGGGATAGACGGCAATGGGTCAGGCTTTTTGCCAATTACTGCCATTTTGTAGGATAATTCAGGAGCTGTTAGGAAGACCAAAGAAGCAAAGGAAATGACTATCTATTGAGTCCTTACTACAGGCCACGTCTTGTGCTGGACACCTCACATACATTATTTAATATAAGCCTCACAGCTAATAATCACTCTCTAAAATACTACATTTCTACTCATTTATCTTATTTTTCGTCTGTCTCCCCCATTTCGATGTACGCCCAGGAGGAGGAACACTGTCTTGTTTATTGCTATATCCTCAGTGTCTAGCAGTGTCAGATACATAGAAGCACTCCATCAGTATTTGCTGAATGAACAAAACAGACAACTCCACAAGATAGGTGACGTTATTTTCCTTTTATAGGTGAGTAAACTGAAGTGCTCCGAGGGTGCAAATGAACGGCCCAAAGTCACATGGTTCGTTAAGGAGCCAGAACTCACACCCCAGTCTCCCTCTTGTTCTTTCTAGAGACCAAGAGACACAGACCTAGACTTCGGTCTTGAGGAGCTCTTCCAGCTGGACACACCTATAATCTCTGTGCCTAGGAAACGTATTCACTTCGCATGCTCATTTGGAAGTCTGAAATTTTACCAAGGAGCTATATTTGGCACTGTAACGACAAACATTTTGCTAAAGCAACAATGAAGGACACATTTTCCCAACATAACAACAATTTTATCCATGGATAGACACATCTACATCCTTTATCACTTTAAAATCCCATAATGTGATTCCTCTTCAGACATAAAGAAAGAGCATAGTAATCCTGGACAGCAACAAAATAACATCCGTAATCCTTAGAGTTTTATCAGTTACAACATTAAGATGACTAACGATCAGTGTGTGGTATGCTCCGTGCGGAATACCAAGACTCCCGTGGGCCTCCACGTTGCCCGAGGGTCCCAGTATGGGGGGAGGTAGACGTGCAACACGGGAAGCCATTCCTATCCTAAGAAACTATACGGAAGGCTCAAATATTCTTCAAGGATCAGCTGCAATAAAATTCATCTCGAGAACATTCATTTTGTATGAGAGAATGCAAAAATGAGGTTAATTTTACCTAGGAGAGTATTTCATAGCGTTTCCCGTTTGTCCGAATACACTTGATCCACTTGAGCTTTTACCTACCTAGGACTACACGACAGGAGCACGCCACTCGTGGCGCCTTCTCATACCACTCCGGTTTTTTGTAGGAATTCTGACCGCATGCCCTTCTCCTCGGGGAAGGCTCTTCTCCTTTTTGTCCCACTCCTGCTATCAACACAGTATCTATCACACAGCCTCTGTGTCGTCCCAGCCAGTTAATTGTTCATTGACCAAACTCAGGTTTGGCCTCACTCTCTCCATTGCCAACTTTTGGAGCTCTTGTTTTACTCTGATAATAAAAGGAATAATATTTTGGAGAAATATTCTTTAAAAGATAAGAAACAGGACAATTTAAAAAACACTCATAATCCAGCCACCCAGAGTTAGCATATCCTTTCTAATCATTTTAAAAACATTTTTGGATTTACATATACAATTTTGTACATCACTCTTTTCACTTAACATCATAAGCATTTGCTACGCTGTTTTAACTCTTCACAAACATTAACTATGACAACTCCATCACAGTCTATTGCATAGTCATACTCTAACTTACTTCACCGATTTTCTACTGTTGGACTTCTGGATTGTTCAGCATAAATTCTGCTCATATTTTAGACTATTTCTCTAGGATAGATTCCCAGAAGTGGAATTTGAGGATCAGAAGACATAAACATTTTTAAAGCTCCTGATAGATATTGCCAAATTGCTTTTCAGAAAGCTGTTGCCAATTTACACTTCCAACATTGCCAGTGTATTTCTCTACCAATACAGATCCGTCTAAAGGAGAATAAAATTTAAGTGGAACATACAGTCCTCAAATTATTAATGCAGTTGGAGAGGCGTTATGACCACAGCGCAGAGGCCTGTGGCAAAGGTCAGACCTATTTCCAGGTTGGCATTAACAATGAGTTAGTGTAAGCACATGGAGCAGAAGTTTTGCAAAAGTAAAGAGTAATATAATTAGATGTCAGACTGTGAGATTGAAGGCCTATGTCTGTTTTGTCCATTGCTGTACCCCGGCACACAGGACAGTGCCTGGCACATACAGCCACTCAATAAAAATGTGTTGAATTAACACAGAATCTTCTTTTAGATGCATTTTTGCAGCAGCTGTAGGATTTAGTCACTCCTGGATTCAAGGGAAACATGACTGGCTGGATTAAACACACTTGTAAAGGTCTGTTGAATCTGGAGATTCCATTCCAACTTCGGAAAATCAATTTAAATAAAGGTGACACAATACAGTTGTCTTTCGGGGAAAAACAAGTAAAAACACCTAAAAGGACATACCCTTGGAAAAATTTGCAAATTATATATATATATATTTTTTTTTTCTTTACATGCTTGTAAAGAAAATATAACTCAGTGAGTTTGGTCACTTTCATAGGTGACAACATAAACTTTTCAAATGCTGCCCATGGTCAAGGCAATTTGGAACCACCTTCAGTTCATTCCTTTATTGCTAGTTGTAACTTGGCACCATTTGCAGTATTGCCAAAATTGTTTTTTGAGATATTACAAGGACATAATATAGGTAGTAGTTTGTCTAATATCATTTTTAGTCAAAGACAGCACAAAACTCATTTTGTGAACCAGAATATGGTCAAGGTAAAATAATCAATCATTCGGCTTTAGTTCACTCTCCTGGCACCAGAAACATTCCCTTCAATATTGCACAATTTCTATGTAGTCAATTGTCAGATGCTGCTGGCTCAACAGTCAATCATCCATCATTTTATATACACACTTTATATACACTAGACCAGGGGTCAGAAAACTATGGTCCATGGGCCAAATCTGGCTCAACATCTGTTTTTCTACAGTGTGCAGGCTAAGAAGTCTAAGAATGCTTTTTTACATTTTTAAGTGGTTGGGAAAAAAATCAAAATATTTTGTGACATGTGAAAATTATATGAGATTCAAATTCCAGTATCCACAAATAAAGTTTCATTAGGACACAGCCATGCTCATCTGTTTCCACGTTAGCTATGTCTGCCTTTGCAATAAAATGTTGAATAGTTACAACAGAGACTCTATGGCCCACAAATCCCAAGACAGTTCCTTTACAGAAAGCGGGTTCTTGGAGGTACTGAAGTTTCCAACTGTAGGTTTTTGTTTCTGGATATAAATACTGGGAGAAGGGTGATGCAACTGGGACAGTGTTTGCAAGGATCTGATAAGGCAGAGACCAGAGAAGATAAATACACAAGGGTTACCTTATATAGGATGTAAAGCCTGGTAAAACCTGAGAGGTCTGATCTAACCAAGAAGCCATTAGAGAACGCAGGTTATATATGCAGTTCCAGCAGCAAAGGAACCTCTTACTAATTGAGCCACATGGGACCCTGGTGAAACCCAATACCAAGGAGCCTAGTGAGACTTGCTGGCAATGATGTCTACAAACAGCAGGCTGGCTGGGCAGTTTATGTGATCCAGTGAGAGTCAGTTCCCCAACAGTACCCTGCTCCCTTACTAGATGTCCTCAAGTCATTCAGCATCCAGACTTACTGGGACATCTCCAATGGCAAGTGTGAATTCTAAGAAGCGAATCTGAAAAGAAGGCTCTGGAAAGCAGGCCCCAGGTACGTGTTCTTCCCAAACAACATTTCAATGAATATTCAGAGCCAGGGGCAGAATTCAGAAGACTGCAAAACTATCCACGTTTTTCAAAATCAAAGATTGGTGAACATTTTCTTTCTGTATTTGCTCATTACCAGTGGGACAGGTGGAATAAGGTAGGGCGGGGTGATGGGTGGAAGAATTGGATAAAACCAATGATGGGATGATCCTCCCTGGAAGGTGTCTGTTCCTTTTAGACTTCCAGCATATAACATTCCATGTGGATTTGGAACCAGAATGGGGAGAGAGAGGGAGATCAGCCAAAAAGCCAAAGACTGTCATTAACTGATTGTGTTGAGCCAGAGAATTGTGGTCAAGGTTTAGAGATGGCCAGCTCTCCTCCGGTCTTACAGAGCCAGGCTTCCTCTCCTACCGTTAGCTGGAGCTTCTCCTGCCAGGGAAGACACAGTCACTGGGAGAATGGGATTTGGATATTACATCTCTGAAAAACGTTCATGACTCCTGAGCACCACAGCTAACCAACTGCCCCCTTAAGAAACTACTAACACTGGTTGCCTCTGGGGAGTGGAACCCCTGCTGGCTAAGGGTGGGAGGGAGCTTTTTTCTTCCTTCTACGCCCCTTATAAAAAACAAAAACAGGAAGACGATCCCCCACGTCACCCCACCCCGCTTCTTGAGGACAGAAAGGCAACCTGGGGCCAGGGCAGGCACAGACAATTTCCTTACTCAAGACTATAGGGCTGAAGTGGGGAGCCGAAAGAGGCAGCCAAAAATCAGAGGGGAGAGGAGCTGCAAGTTCGTGGAAATCATGACCAAAAGGGCGATTCCAGATCAGCACACCAAAGTGGCCAAAAGCAGCTGCTGGAGGGCGGTGGGTCCAGAACCGGAAAACAAAGCACCAGGAAAGCAGAGGAGGGAGAGCAAACTGAAGGAGAAATAATCAACTGAGAGGTGTTTGAGAAAAGCCAAGGACAAGAGCCTGGTGCGTGATGATGGGGAGAGCACAGAGACTATAGGATCAGGAGCTCAAGAGGCCTGGGGAGCAGGTGCAGGCCAGGGCAAATTTCTATCAGCAACAAAATGGATTTGGTGGGTGGGCACATAAGGGCCCTGTCATGTAACTCTCTTGTCTGGAGACACGCCTAGATCATGTTCCAGCCTGGGGTTTACTGATGCTGAGCAGCCATGTTGAATGGTTTGCTCTGGACAAGGGTTAGGGCAGTAATTTTACTTCCCCCAAATATGAGGCATCTTAGCATTTACTATCTTATTGAATATTTTCTTGGAAGTCATGCAAATGGGCAACGACTTCAAGTAGTTAAGTTTGACCTGACCTCCATTGGGACGTGATCTAAGATAATAAATGACATCCTTTTCATTATAGCTACTTGGAACAATTTGAATTCACACTCCTGATTACCTGCTTCTGGTTGCTCTGTGTCCAAACCCTGTCTGGGCCAACACAGCTTCTGGTACCCTACGCTCCAGCATGGTCTTGGTCTAGCATCTCTGGAAGGGTCACTTCAGCCCTGTTCAGAACAGGAATAAATCTAGCAGTAAATTCTCACAGGACCTCTGTGTTGTAATCAGGTTGGAGATAATACCTATAGGTACTTTGTGGGATCCTGGCTTGGGCCCAGGAGCACACAATTCGGCTACAATTACCTCTGGGCCTGAGCAGGGATTAATATGAGGTTCAGCCACAAAGTTGCAATAGCCAGTCGTGACAGCTTTGTTCCAGAAGTGCAGTGTCCCTGGTGGCAAGTGCCTGTGGGGAACCCAGGGTCTCTTCTGATGTAGGAAGACATAATGGTCCTGAAATATAATGTCTAGAAATTACTAAGTAGGCAGAAGTCTGTAAGCTGTTGCTGGTTTAAGAATGATCTTGCACAATTATCTTTTATTTGTAGGATAAGGTCTAGGTTTCAGGATGCCTCAAAACTGACAGGTATTAGTGGGGAACTCGTAATTTTTTGAAGGGGATAGAGACAATGAAAGAACAGAATTAAAAATAACTGTGTTGAATAAATAAGTGTTGAGCCTGTATACTAACTTACTAGTTAAATAATAGGAGCTGTTTTGTGTAAAAATCCCTGGGTAAAACACAGATATTGACCAATCCTGTGAAATGCTGTTACTAACCATCCCCCCGAACCCCCACACCTCCACCAGACATTCTGAGATGTTTCCAGTCTATGTGGTATTATTTGGAACCCACATGGGAAAAGTTCCATTCCATAAATCCTGGCAGAGGAAGGAAGAGATGAAAGAGTTTGAACTTGTAGAGACTGTTTTGAGGGTTTGATGGGAAAATTCAATAATCAAATAAGTGTGTTATTATAAACCTATCCACAGACACAGGGGAAGCAATTTATAAACTACTGGCGTAGAGTTGGGGGCAGAGGACAGGAAGCAAATTATCCCAAATTGTTCATCTTGTGCCACATCATTATCTTCCTCTTTAGACTCTGCTATTTCAGCCAAGAATGCCATCATTTTCCTATTGTTGCAGGTTCGAGGCCTCATACTGTTCCACCCGCCAGGGACGCTTTCCCTAACTTCCTAGCTCCTTGTCTCATTCTTCCTTATGGACCCAGTTCAGGAACCACCTCATCCATGAAGTCCGCCCAGCCCTGGGTGATCTTGTTGATCGCGCTTCATAACCTCACACTGTCAATGCCCAACAGTGTTCTTAAAAACTGCAGGTGCTCAGAAATCACCTGACAACGTTGGTGTTGCTTACTAAAAACAAGCTGCCGTCTGAGAATCAGCACGGAGGCAGCACACTCCCTTAATTCAAGGTCTAGAGTGTCACCTGCTCTTCCTCCTCACACATCACAGCCTGGGCCTAAGTCCCCTGGTTGGTATTTTCTAGGACCAGATCCTTCTGTTCCAGCAGAGGGGATACCCAAATGGGGGTGGAGGGGGTAGAGTGCAAAGCACAGGACTAAAGGGAAGCAAACCCTGTTCTTCCGTGAGGGTCAGGTCTGTGAGAAGATCAGTATGGGTGTCCAACCCTTGAGTTCTGAGGGGCTCCCACTGAGTCGCTTGGGCTGGAGTGGCCCTGAGCATTGCTCACTAGGTCAGCATGCCACTGCCTTCTGTACCATACCTCAGGCCCTGACTGTGAAGCAGGTTGGAACAGTAGGCCTTCTTTTGGGGTCCTCCCAGCAGAGTATGCCTCCCTGGGCACAGACAGACAAACTCCAGGAGGTCCTGTTCCCACCTTGCACTGGTACCATCCCCGGAGGCAGAATGTTGAGAACAAAGGAACAGGACAGCCACAACAAGCTAAGGTCTGGGCAGTGAAGAGATCCAAACTTGTTAAGCAAAAGAAATCAAGAACAAGCAAGTACCAGAACTCAACAGCCAAAAGCTCTTCCAAGTTGTGGAGAACAGCAAAGAAGATCGCTCAATAGTCCAGCAAAGAGTACCTAGGAGGGCCATGACATGTAGGGAGGAGTGGCAGAGAAGACGGAAAACAGATGAGCAGCAAATGAAGGTGCATAACGGGGAGGCAGCTCTCCAGCTCAGGGTCAGCCACCGCACATTCCTTTCACCACGGTGTGAACCAATCCTGAGCTGCCCTGGTGGGAAGGCTTGTTGAAGATGAAGCCTGCAGAAGCTGGCTGGTAGGGCAGTGGATTTTGGGATGAGATACAGGCAGAGGCATTTCCCCACCAGCTTCGCACTGGAGATGACTCCATGTTTCAGAACTTGTCACCTTTTTCCTCGTATGTGAGCCATTTCTCCCAGTTTCCTTTGAAAGATCAGACCGAAAGTCAAGTTTTCGAGGTTTAGGCTCATCCTTCAAAATATCCGCTATAACTTTTTCAGAAACTTTCCTCATATTCAGGTTTTCTTTCAGAATGAGTCTAACGGTTTCTTTATCTAAATTTAACTCTTCAGCCATCATTCTCACCGTTAACTGCCTGTTTGAACAAACCAAGTCCCTGACCTTCTGGATATTTTCATCAGTCCGGTGGGTGACTGGACGACCACTTCGGGCATCATCGCGAACATCTTCCCGCCCTTCTTTAAACCTTTTATGCCAGTCAAAAACTCTGGCCCTTGACATGACTTCATCCCCAAAGGCTTCTTTTAAAAGATGGTGGGTCTCGCTTGCAGACTTGTTCAATTTCACGCAAAATTTGATACTAATCCTTTGTTCTAGATAGCGGTCGCTCATTTTGGCACTTAACACAGGAACGTTAAAAGGCCACCACCGTGAAGGGAAGACAGAGGGACCAATCTCTAGAGGGCTGCAGGTGGAACCATGTCGCTATTCTTGCTCCTCTGGAAGCCTCCCCAGAAAGGAGTAATTGCTTTTGAGTTTTCGCCCCACAGCTTGCAGTCGAGGCTGGGGATGACCGTTCTGAGTCGCTAACGCGGCCACACAGTAGCTGCAAAGCTGGGGGAAATGGAACCTCCTACAACCCACGTCTGCGTCCAACTCCTGCACGCAGATCTGCCGGGAGTGTGCAAATCAGTCACCAAGGTCGTCCCGATTCCGAGGCCCTTAAGAGTCTACGGCGATTTCTGCCATGGAGGCCTAAGTGGTGGCAACGTAACCAAGCAAGGAGAGATGCACCGGTGATGTAACGTGCAAGCTCGCCCCAGAGCTGCAGAAACCCGCGCACGCCCAACCTACCGGAGCGGCCCGGGACTCGCCTGCTCCCGAGTCCCGGGAGACACGACCGCATGCGCAATCACCTCCCATCGCGGGGGAGGCCGTGCGCAGGCGCAGCGCGGCAGCCCGCGGCAGGCCCCGCCTCCGCCGCGCCACGCCCTGGCCGGCGCGCTTCCTCGCGCGTGCCCGCCTGCGGAGGAGTCGGCGGAAAGGAGGGGGCGGGGGAGGAAGGCTGAGGGAAGAGAGGGCACCCCCGGGCGCCGGGGTGCATTGTGGGAAGGAGGCGGCAGCGTCCCGGGCGGGCGGGAGGTGCACCAGCGGCGGCGGCGGCGGTAAATCCTCCCGGCCGCTCACAGCACTGTGGAGCCGCGTCCCCAGCCCGGCCTCGGACCGCGGCGCCCCTCCTGCCCCTCGCGGCTCCTCGCCCGCCCGCCCCTCCCCCGGCGCGCCGGCCCTGCCGAGCCGGCCGGCCGGCCTGGCTCCCCTCCCCGGCCCCGACGGGCGGGCGGGCTGCCCTGAGGAGGCGGGGAGGGGAGGGCTGGGCCGGCCGGCGGGCGGGCGACGATGCCGAACTTCTGCGCTGCCCCCAACTGCACGCGGAAGAGCACTCAGTCGGACCTGGCCTTCTTCAGGTTCCCGCGGGACCCGGCCAGATGCCAGAAGTGGGTGGAGAATTGTAGGAGAGCAGATTTAGAAGATAAAACACCTGATCAACTAAATAAACATTATCGATTATGTGCCAAACACTTTGAGACCTCTATGATCTGTCGAACTAGTCCTTATAGGACAGTTCTTCGAGATAATGCAATACCAACAATATTTGATCTTACCAGCCATTTGAACAATCCACATAGTAGACACAGAAAACGAATAAAAGAATTGAGTGAAGATGAAATCAGGACACTGAAACAGAAAAAAATTGATGAAACGTCTGAGCAGGAACAGAAACATAAAGAAATAAACAACAGCAGTGCTCAGAAGCCCAGTGCAGAAGAGGGAGGTGAAGAACAGGATGAAGACATTTTACCTTTAACCCTTGAAGAGAAGGAAAACAAAGAATACTTAAAATCTTTATTTGAAATTTTGATTCTTATGGGAAAACAAAACATACCTCTGGATGGACATGAAGCTGATGAAATCCCGGAAGGTCTCTTTACTCCTGATAACTTTCAAGCCCTGCTGGAGTGCCGGATAAATTCTGGTGAGGAGGTTCTGAGAAAGCGCTTTGAGACAACAGCAGTTAACACGTTGTTCTGTTCGAAAACACAGCAGAAGCAGATGTTGGAGATCTGTGAGAGCTGCATCCGGGAAGAAACCCTCAGGGAGGTGAGAGACTCTCACTTCTTTTCCATTATCACTGACGATGTCGTGGACATAGCAGGGGAAGAGCACCTGCCTGTGTTGGTGAGGTTTGTTGATGAATCTCATAACCTGAGAGAGGAATTCGTGGGCTTCCTGCCTTATGAAGCTGATGCAGAAATTTTGGCTGTGAAATTTCACACTACAATAACTGAGAAGTGGGGATTAAACATGGAGTATTGCCGTGGTCAGGCTTACATTGTGTCCAGTGGATTTTCTTCCAAAATGAAAGTTGTTGCTTCTAGACTTTTAGAGAAATATCCCCAAGCCATCTACACACTCTGCTCTTCCTGTGCCTTAAATATGTGGTTGGCAAAATCTGTGCCTGTTATGGGAGTGTCTGTTGCATTAGGAACAATTGAGGAAGTTTGTTCCTTTTTCCATCGATCACCACAACTGCTTTTAGAACTTGACAATGTAATCACTGTCCTCTTTCAGAACAATGAAGAACGGGGTAAAGAACTGAAGGAGATTTGCCATTCTCATTGGACAGGCAGGCATGATGCTTTCGAGATTTTAGTGGACCTCCTCCAGGC